ACCATTTTATAGTAAAAGAAAAAAAAAACCCAGATAGGATTTTGATGGTTTACTAACAGGCTTTTTTAACATGGAATAAACATTTGAGACTCAGATTCTCACATTTAATTTTTTACTGATGTAAAAGAAAAGGAAGAAGGCAAATGCATTCCATATAAGTAACAAATTGGTTCCCAGCTGCTGTACTTCGAATGCAGATCCCTGCTAGTGCACATGAGAAAGCAGTGGTAGATGGACCAAGTTCTTAAATGGCTGCCACTCCACTGGAGACTTGGACCTGGTCTAGCCTGGTTGTTGTCATTTGGGGAATGAGCCAGTGGAATGAAGGTCTGTCTCTGTTTCTATTTCTCTATTCCGTGCAAATAAATAAATAACTCTTTAAAAAAATAAAGGAGCTGGCACTGTGGCATAGTTGGTTAAGCCACTACTTCTATGCTGGCATTCCCATTAAGATCTCCGGTTTGATTCTCTGCTGTTCCTCTTCTGGTCCGTTTTTCTATTAATGCCTCTGGGAAAGCAGTGACAGACGGTCCAAGTGTTTTGGCCAGTGCACTCGTGTACAGACTTGGAAGGAGCTTTTAGCTCCCAGCTTTAACCTGGCCCGATGCTAACCATTGTGGCCATTTAGGAAGTGAACCAGCAGATAAAAAAAAAAATTAATTCTCCTTAACTAAGGGCTACCGATCATTGATCGTGTGACTGTCTTCTCTCAGTGCTTCTCACGACTTCTCACAGGCTGACACATTGACCTCAGCCTAGTAACCCACTGATGAATTATATTATGTCTTTCTCAAAATAGTTTTAAATTAAAATGCAAAGTTTTTACTTTGGCCACTAGCCTTTCATGCTGGGCCCTAAATTAAAATGCAAAGTCTTTAAAATATTCCTGAGTATGTTTACTCAGGCGTTAGTGAGAATGTGTGATAGTATGAATTTATGTGCAGGTATCTCTTTGGAATCAGTATGCCCTTCCCTAGGCCCAAATGAAGCCTTTGGCAGTGTCCTAAGTAAATTGAAATCAAATTTATTAATAGATTATGAGGCATCTATAGCTAGGTCCAACCAATATAGAAGGAAGTTTCTGTAGAAGCTGAACTCAGTACAGTTGTACCTACTGAGTTTCCACTGTAAAGCATAGTTCTGCCAGCCCAGAAGTAAAAAGGACTTGAAGAAGAAAGACAAATTTACCCCATTATTGTATGCCCATTTTCTGGAGTGTTGCTGTGTAAATGCATCCCACATGATCCAGACACCTCTGGGAAAATCTGAAGACATACCAATTAGCAACTCAGTATCTGTGCTGTCAGATCAGAATAAAAATAAGGAGGTAGAAAAACATCAGCAAATATCTATTTCTATCTTCCAAGCCACCAGAGAAAAACTGACTATATGCCGTTATCACTGATATTTGCAAAGTTGGTCTTATCTCACTGTGAGAATGAAATAATTGGCAGGATCTCTTAAGAGTACACAAAAGTCATTGTACCCACATATATGTTAAGGAACCTACATCTTGTTGACCTGATTCTAGCTGAGGAGCTATGTTCATTTTGTACTTATTTTCCTTTTCTTGAGTGTTCATTTAATGTGGAAAATAATCCTTTGTTTTTCACAAAGGGGCATGAGTAATGTTGTTGCATAAATTGCATATACCATTTAAATATGAAATATATATTTATATTATGTATATCATATATTTATAAGAAGAATCCAAATATTGCAAAAGATGTTATATAAAAGATATAGTTTATGTTAAACATAAATATATTTATAAATTTCATTTGAAATATATTTATTATGTTATAAATTACAATAACAATCATTTATTATAAGCTTTAAATAATTTACTATAAATTATAAATAGCTCATTATATATAACATTTAATGCATTATGTAAAATAAATAATATAATGCATATATGTAGCACTCAGCTGCATTTCAGTAAAAATGAAGGTGCTTAAAAATGCTAATTGGGGTTATTACTGTGGCCATTACTGATATTACATTGCTCCCTAATTCAGCGATACCCTGTGAGTCTTGGTTGAGTTTTTGGACTGTGGGATATGTTGGCTAGGCTGTCTTTATCTGCTCAAAAGAAAGACAGGACAGACATTCTCGGTCATACAAAGGCATCTGTGGTAGTACTCAAGTTCCCTTTTAGCAAATGCTTGCTTTATGGGAGCACTGTCTGCTAATTCCTTTGTTCTGCTAATAACATTAATTTGCATAACCAATCCTATAGAGTAGATCACATTTTACAAACATGGAAAATGTAACTACCTCAGGCTAACAGAGTTGAAGAGTGAAAGCTGGAATATGATTTCAACTTGCATGATGGCAAGAACTAAACAGTCAACACCTCAGAACACTGCTGCTGGGCAGAACTCCTTAACTAAGGGCTACCGATCATTGATCGTGTGACTGTCTTCTCTCAGTGCTTCTCAGGACTTCTCACAGGCTGACACATTGACCTCAGCCTAGTAACCCACATGTGACAGTGGCTTCATACAGGCAAATGCTGATGATAATGGTAACAGGCCACAAGCTACTAAGCTGCTATTGAGATCAGTCTCTGTACTGCATCATCATTGATTATGAAAAAGATGATTTGCCCTATCTCTTTTTCTTCTGGCAGTGTTGTTCTAACATTATCCTAAGACAGGAATTAGAGATAACTATTTTGGTTGCCGATAAATAACTAGTCTGTTAATAATTGTGCTTTCCTTTTATGTGGATTTACACATCCGTAATCGTAGTTTGGATCAATTTTCCTTCAGACTTGCTATCATATAGGAAAAAAGTAAATGGTAAGGTAGTTTACTAGTTCATTTTGTAAATCATACACATTAGAGTGTGACATTTATTCAGTGTTACTTAAATGAAAGCTATTGCCTAATCATGCAATAGACCAGACATATGTTTTCTTACTTTGAAGTCTGCCAGATCATTCACAAATACCTTACACAGTATTCTGCTTACATCTTCAGATGAACTGTGTGTATGTAATCTTTAGCACTTTTTGTTAGCTCAATGAGGGGAAGATGTGTTTGAATTTGTATTTCCTCATAGCACAATGCCAAACACAGCACCTTGCACATAGTAGATGCTCATTGAATGTTTTATCTTACTGAATAAATCAGTCTGTACTAGACTGAACACATTTGCAATTCTAAATTGTTCTTGTCATCATTTCACTCTGCATAATTAAAGTTTTACTAAAATGATTAAAAATGTGTTACTGAATTGCTGGTGTGGACTCTAAAAACAGTGGGTTAAAGATGACACTGGCTATCTCCCTCTGAGGAAGCGGTGAAGATGAGTTGTTCACTGTAGGTATTCATGCTAGATTTTATGTGTGACTGAATTAATTTCTCTTGGTAAAGTTACAATCATACTTTCCATATGGCACTTTGTAACACTTTCCTTTTACCCCCACTGTGCCAACTAATATTTTTCTTATGATAAAAGTAATATTTATCATAATGAATTAACTAGTTGCAAATTAAAGAATAATTATTTTATATTTTCATCAAGATAAAATTCTTAATATTTTAATGTTCTATTTTTATCCACATTTTTTGTTGTGTCCAAGTAACAAGAACTGTAGGTATCTATCAAATATTGTAATACCATCAACTTGCTTTCTGCTAGAAAATTTAAGTATTCTTTTAAGTACTTAGTATGTTATTGTGAAATATTCTTTTGTATGGACATGCTGTGCTTTAGTTATTTTGCTATTGTTAGGCACTGATGTTTGTTAAGATTTTTTAGTATCACAAAGATTATCTTTTTGACATCAGTTTCTGTTTATTGTCAGTTATATGTGATAGATTCTTAGAATTAAAATTGCTGACTAAAAATTTTGAGTTTATATTTTTCCACATATTATTCAGTAGTTTTCCAGAAATCATTTAACAATTCACATTCAAAATATAAGCAGATAGTTCATTGACCCATCATTGGAATTATTATCTCTGACCACTTTTTAGCCATATTATCTTTTTATCTATGTATATAAATTCTTTTTCATGATGCAAGTTCTTTAGGCTCAAGAACTTCCCCTTTCAGCGTCCCTTACCCTCCTTCTCCCACTCTTTTCCCCTATAACAATAATTTAGTTCTTCAATAACAGTCAAAAGCCCATCATTCTAGCAGTATTATCTTTAGTATGTTATTGGCGTGAACTATGTTAAGAAACATACTTTGCTTTCAGAAATAATTATGAAATGTTTATGTGCCGTAATATTTTGAGGCCTGTATTTTATATTACGGTTTCCACTTAAATCTATTTTTTTCACATCTTAATATAAACTGCATACTTTTATTGAAACAAATATAATCCTCTGTCCTGATTCCTCCTTCACTGGCAATTTTAAGATTCTGCATTTTCTCTAATATGCTATTAACTTTCTTTCTTGTGGCAACCAATCTCATTTCTATTTGCTGTTGTATCTTAAAGTTTGTGAGCGTTCCAAGTTTGCTTTAAATTATTTACGAACTTTTGGTGATTCTTTTATAAAAACACCTTTCTTCCTCAAGAATAGTCAAACTGAGTGTAGATTAATCGGAGTAGTTTCATTTTAGAGAGCAGCAGTTATATTTGTATTAGGAAGGTAATAGTCTTGGAAGAATACCAAAAAAAAAATCATTCTTAAGTGTTTGCCTCTTCTTGTGAAAGCATTTGCATTTCAGAGGCCATGGTGAGTCTTTATTCTTTCTGATACTTGTTTTTGATAATATTGCTAAGTGAGTGAGCGTGTGTGTGTGTGTGTGTGTGTGTGTGTGTGTGTTTGCAGATATGAATTTAGGGTGATTGAAAAATCTGATATGGAAAATACAGATATATAATAACTAATTTCTTTATGCACTGCCACCTTTATCTGGGAAATCGTAACAATTCTAACGTGGCAAGTTCATTTTCATCTAAGTATTTGTTTTTTATTTCAGCGCACCTGATAAATAGCCAGTCTGTTTGTGGTCTGTAGTTGCACAGGTATGTAAATGAATAACCTATGTGGTAACTAATAAACTATTATATTTTATTAAAATTGCTTACATATGTCATAATGTGAAAATGTTAATTTTTGAGTACTGTACTTAAATATTGACAGCTTCAAAGGAGAGGACATTTTATACATACATTGCATTTCATTATATTGTAAGAATTAAACATTTTTAAGGTTGATGAGGCAGAATAATTTTAATTACAAAGCATTCATCTGGTGAAGAGATTAGAGTTCTTTGTGGAACTGTACTGTTAAAGCAACTAGTGATGGGGACAGTCTGTTGCGCAACCACTATGTTTTTGACATTGTTTTATTTTCAAACTTATTTTACTGCTTTTGAATGTCTTTTTTGTGGGGGTTGCCTTAGGTAAGGAGTGGTTGCAGATGTACTGTCTGCTGCTCTGTCTCAAGCACCACGCAGATGAAAAAAAAAATGTTTGCACCTGTTTAAAATCTCAACTGTGCAGTCTTGTGGTTCCTGGGCAACAGGCAGGAATTCTCAAAAGCTTGGTTGCACCTGCTCAATTGTTGTTTGCAGCTGTGTCATATGAGTCAGAGCACAGAGAAGCTTGTTAGCAGTTTGCTTCTGCTAATACGTATTTTTATGTACTATGAGTTTGAAAGAGTCTTGTTTGATGAAGATTTTGAATCATTGTACTGGTTTATTTTAAAGCTCACTGGTATTTGCTTGCAAATATTGTCTCCAAATTTTGTTTTGTGTTTCAAATATGTTTGTAATTGTGGTTGAGTGCCCCAGAGAATGCGTGTGTGAACTTCTCTAAAGGATACCTGGGGATATGTGGCTCACCACATAATAATAATTACTGTCCTGCTAGACAGAGTTTGTGTTTGGCTCAATTTTACCATGTTGGCAGCCCCACTATGTGAGGCTGGATGAAGTTATCGATCCATTTAGCTGAACAGATTTGAAAGCATTTGGCTATTAGTGGACACATGGGGCATTTTCAGAAAATGTAAGGGTATATTGTAAGATGATTTTACTGTCTCTGCATGTATCACTGTTACAGTTGGAAGTAAAAAAAGAGGGAGAAGTAAACATTGTACTTCCAAAAGAGGGCTAAAATCCAGATGCAGATTTGAATGTTGCATTATTGTTATTTAATTTAATTAAATAGTAGGTTTTTGGTATTTTCCCTGAGTATTATTATAGAAATGTTGCTTCCATTAGTAAATAGTTTATACATTTACTGAAAATGTGTATATATGTAATATAGATAAGCTATTACACACTGTGTCTTAAGGAAAGGTCTATAATTGCAACACAAAAGAAACAATTCACTATAAAGATATCTAATTGCGGTAGTCCTAAATTGCTGGTATTGAAATGACTTAATGTCACTCTTCAAACAAACAAATAGAAATGCTCAGGAGTTTTCAGCAGTATTTAGTTACATAAATGTTATGTTTCAAAAATCCTGTATCTTCCTTTTATTGGCTCATGTGGAATTTTTTTCAAATAAATGACCATAATATAAATTTAACTCACCTGCTTTTAGAATTAGCTAGATAGATAGGATAGATAGGTAGAGAATTTTTCACAGTCCCTCAGCACTATACGTGTACACAGTGGTTGGTCAATTAACATTGAACACATGTATTATAAATAAACCATTTCTGAAATGGTCTTGAAAATGGATGGATAGTGTCCTAACAATTTATCATACATTTTGGGTAAACATTAAAGAACTTAGCTCAGTTCTTACACTACCTGCTAAGTAAAAGTGAAAATACTGAGAATCCTTGCTTTGAAATGAGTAGTTAATATATAAAAATTGGTACTGTGTCTTTATAAAGAATTAACAGTTGCAATCACAGCATGCTTTGCATTCATTTTTCTGGACTATGGTAATAATCCTTTATCATCAGCATTTTGTAGGCAAGATTGAGGCTTCAACAGTTAAGTTACTGTCAATTTGGAGATGATTTGCAGGATAGAAATAAAAAGTCTGTGTTGTGTAATTGTTTTCTTAGTTTCCTGAGCACTTTCTTAGATTCTCTATTTAACACACATTGATGACTCATGAGCATTAAGTGTGTTTGACTGTTTTTGGGTCAAGTATGATCAAAACTTATTAAAAATCATGTTTTTCTAAGCTAAAGTAGTAGCACTTATATTTATTGTATACACATTTCTAATTATAGTTTTTATTATTCACTAAATTCTAACTGTAAGTAAATGCAGGCAAAGTCAAGTAAAGGTAGAATCAAAGCAGTGAATTAGCAACTACTTTAGCTATGCCCTTCCAAAGTTGTCTCCTGAGGCATGAGCCACTCATTTAATGTAAGGATGGCCTGAGTTGTACAGTAGACCAATTTCTATTGCGTTGTAATGTCTGTGTTTCTCGAACTTTGATCAACTAACTGATGACAACTGTGAGTACATCTAAGCTTGGAATGGTTTTCCTTTCACCATAGTTTAAATCAGTGGGTAAGAGGACAATGTCAAGAACATCATTTTTTCTCCCTGCAACTCGGTGTGGTAAATCAGTCCATATTCCTCTGCTACTCTCAATATTAGAATTTCAGATATGAGTCAGTAATCTATCTTAGTTAGAATAAATAATCACTAAACCAGACAGATATTAACAGCTGTTTCAGGGGCCTTTACCATGAATTTTTGTATGGAATATCAAACAGGGATAAATTGCCAAGCCCAAGGATTCCTGTATGCATTTGTGTGTTTCTCAGTTATTTCAGCATTAAAGAAATAAAAGGGGAAAATATACATTTATTGAAAGAATAATGTGCTTACATGTGATTTATTTCTTTTCCCCATTTCTTCCATTCTTTCCTTATTTCCTTTCTCCTTTTTGTTCTACCTGATAAATTAATGCCTGCTATTTGCTAGACACAGCACTAGGTAGAGGAATAAAGCTAAATGCCTGTCTTTAAACATTGTGCAGGCTATGGGGGCACAAACATATACCAACAGAGATATATTTGACTTTGATGTTTATTATTAGCAAGGGCTCAGAAAAGTTACCTAATCTCTTTTCATTCCTTGTTTCCTCATTTGTAATCCTGGAAAAATCTACCTCATTCTAGCTCATATTTTGTTATTTTAAGAGCTAGATAAACATTACAAATAATCTTAGCCCTTTGGCTAGTACATAGTAGGTGTTCAATGGATCTTAGTTCTGTTACTATTAATTCTGTCACAGCTACTACCACCACCATAACTGAAGAAAAATAATCTACTTGCCCAGGAACAGGATCATGATCTGTGTATTGGAGCTTCGGTGGTTTCAAAGCTTCCATACAAGGTACCACTGATTGCAGTCCTTAAGAAGCTATTGCCCAAATCATTAATCGGTATACTGAATCTAAAATATCTTGAAGTATTCATTTAGTTAATATATACCACTTTCATTTTGTTGAAAATATGCGTAACAAAATTCAGCACTTTAAACATCATTAGATGTCTAGGACAGTGAAGTGGAGTAGCCAGGACTCTAACATGACATCTGTATGGGATGCTGGTGCTTCAGGTAGCAACTTGTAACTCCCAAAAATATAGCATTGGCCCAAACCCTCATCTTCTAAAAGGGAATGCTATATTCATTTCAAAATGTCTTCTTATTCTCTTTCCCCAGTCTGTTAAAATCACTGCTAAACTTCTTGAGCTCTATATTGTTGATAATTCTAACTAATCAAGCAAGTAGATTCATTCAATATTTCTCTTTATGTTTGGTTTATTTGCCTCAGTATAATATTCTCATGTATTCATCTTGTTCTATATATAATATTTTTCTTTGTTCTCAATGCTTAGTAATATTTCTTCTTATGTATGCATACTACATTTTCTGTACCCATTCTTGCTTCAGTAGATACTTGGGTTGCTGCTTGATTTTATGATTATGAATCGTTCAGTCATGAATGTGGTACACAGAAATATCTTTGAGAACTTGCTTTTGATCCTTTTGGGTATATACACAGAATTGGAATTGCTGGATCATTTGCTATTTTTATTTTTTATCTGTTCTTATAATGAGATTACTTTTCTTTAAATGATTGTAATCTTCTTGTGCTTGTGGATAGCATTGATTTCTTCATAAGAAAAATAAGATGAGTCAGGTTTAGCAAGAAAACATCTTCTACTTATTTGTTCATTTGCTTTAAAGGATCCTGTGAATACTAAACAAATAAGAATCTTGGAATTAATTCTGAATCTGTTGCTTAAGTTTGGATTTAATAGATTTGGATTCCAGTTTACCTTCTCTAAAGTCTTCAGTCAACAATTAGTATTTGTGTGACCTAATCAGTGCTCTCTCATATTCACTAATATGATTTAAGTCTGTTTTGTCCACTAAGGGTTCATGAATTAGAAGCTTAGTCTAGTGTTTAGCATTTGTATACATTGTAATGTATGTGTTTATGTTATTTTGTTATCTGTTGAGTACCTCACTTCATCATTGTTAGACTTATGGTTAGAGTAACTTTCCATGTGTGCTACATTTAGTAGGCTGGGACTGTTTAGGAAAAAACTTAGGACAAGTTAATCAAAATTATTTGCATGACTTGATTATTAAGTGTGCCTTGCAATGGAAAGCCTATTGATGGAGACAATGGCCATACACAATTTTGTATTTTTTTTTTTGAGAAGAAAATTAGTAGGGTAAAATGCCCTGATTCTCTCTAATGCAAACTTCCTCAACAGTAGAAAACTGGATTTGTAAATTTATCTATATTATTTCCTTTAATTATAAATAATAGAAACTGGATGATCTCAATTATAGTACATCATTTTCCTCTGCAAACTGTTCATACTTTTACTGCAGCAGTGTTTTTTTTTTTTCTGTACAGCAATCTCAAAATGATTCCCTAAAAGCAAAGGGGAAATACTAGTAAATGCTATATTGCATTGGTCATTATTAGCATACATAAATGGAACTGATTCACCCAATGTCGGATGTACTTTTTTGACTGTGATGAATCAAGGGAATCACTGAGGATTACTGAAGTTTTGATTTAGTTGGATATTAGTTTACCAGAGCTGTTCTACCAGAGCCTAACAAACTTTATGCTTGCATAAGAATTTGTTTTCTCAGTTTTGCTGTCCGGAATTGAGGTTTATCAGAAGAGTTGGTTCCTTCTGAGGGCTGTCTGGGAACGATTTGCCCGAGATGATAATCTTCCTCCTGCTGTTACAGTGACTTTTTCAAAGTTTTTATATGTGTGCCCCAACTTCTCCTTTTTTTCTGAGGACATTAATCATATTGTATTAGGTCTCTCACTGTATCAAACACATTTTAGCTTGGTTACCTCTTTAAGTACTCCATCTCCCTTGTGGCAGAAATTGCAACAGAGCTGGTTAATTCACAGGTTGGAATGCCCACATTTCATTTTACAGTATAGATTTGTGTCCTTTCAAAATAGCTTCAATGTAGCTGTGATCCTGGGAGGTATCAGATGATGGTTCAAGTATTTGAGTCTTTGCCATCCAGAGGGGAGACACCAAAAGTGTTCCAGGTTCCTGGCTCTGGTCTGACCCACAAGTCCTAGTTTGTGCAGGCATTTGAGCTGAGAACCAGAAAATGTAGGTATATCTTTCCCTAATAGTTCTCTCCTGCTCCCAGTTCTCTATGTTCTAACTAGATGAAACATAAATTAATGTAATAAAAGACTCTATATTTCAATGAAATCACACTTTGAGGTGCTGGGGATTAGAGCGCCAATTATTTTATTCAAGTCATAATAATTGGGTTGAAAATAACTAACAGTTATGAAGTGACTTTCATATTCCAGCTGTTTTATAAATATTATTGATAATCCTTCCAACAACTTTTGTAGATAACATGTTATTTTGTCATTGTCAGAAGGGAGTCTAATAGAGGGTAGAAGCAATTGTCCAACATCACACAACTATTAAATGTTAAATGCTGGTGTTTGAACCCAGTATCCCATGGTGCTTTTAGTATTGATAAGTTTTGTGATAATTCAATCAAAAAAATCCCAAAACAACTTCAAACATTGTATTTTTTGTTCTTTTTTGTCATTAGGACTGTGCCAAAGAACATTTACTCACGAAAAACTGGTATGTTATGTGATTACATACATGCCTAATCTCTGACTGCCTACATCGTCACTCCTAAATCTTTAGTTGCCAGTTGTCAGTGTTTTAGCTCTCCTGCAGCTGATGAAGCTTTTGGATGGGGTATACTGAACGTAGACTGCATGGGTTGATTCTGGCCCCCATTTATGTGAGTGGCACTGAGAGCCAGATCATGCTCAGAACCTGCTTCTCAGCACATGCGCTTTACTGCCTCCTTTTCTCTCCCAACTTTTTCTCCTATTTTCTTACACAATCCCTGCCACTAGTTGAAATGACTGAAATGGGATAAGTGCAAAGAACAAGATGGGGAACAAGAGGCCTCTTTGAAAAGTTCACGGAAAATCCATATTATAAAAACTTAGGTATGGATTTCAGAAATGTTTTGCACCAAAATAGGTTTATCTTTTAAAATCATTTCCCACAAAGTCTGCGAAGCACCTTCATTGTTCTGCTTATGTAACAGCCATTGCTCTTAGAGGAAAGTGCTAGAAACTGGCTGTGGCTTTTTGGTAAGTCATTCACACTAAAGAGCAAGAAGCACTGTGTGCTTTATATACGTTTCTCATCTTACTAACAGAAACAGTTTGTTTCTCACTTTGAAGTGCTAAAGCAGAACTTCTTCATGACCCAATTTCACTAATAATTCTCTTAAGCAACCCTGTACTCATTTATAAAGTTTTTTTCCACCCACTGTCTGTCTAGACTGGTTTAAAATTTTTATATATGTACTTTTAAAAATTGATTAGCTGGAGAGCTGCCCATTCTTCTGTGCTGTATAATAGGGATTTAAAAACTGCACACTGAATTCTGTGTAGTGTAATTAAAACTGACCCACATTTGGACCTGAGTACACCGGGACTTAGCCAAACTTGCCATGAGCTGAGTTCTGGTGGCAGATGGGAACTAATGAGGACACACTCCACTCCAGAATTTCCCAGCTGCTTGGCCCCTTTTTGTACAAACAAGGTTTGGAGCGAAGTTGGATCCCAAGAGCATGTTCTGCAAATGTGCTGAACCCAGTGATTTGGGAAATGTTCTCACAAAATCGGGACATTGAAAGGTATCCCTAAGACCTCAATTACAGTCAGGTTTAAAACATAAAAATTCAACGGATCTTTTGTGCTTTCTCCAGCCAATTTTCAGTTTCAAAGTGGGAAAAAAAAAATCGCTTCTCTAACCCTTCTCTCATTGTCTTTTCTCCTGTTCCTGACAGTGGCGTGAGAACTTATATCAAAATCTAGAGTAGCAGGTATTTAGCTCAAGGGCATTGTACATCAGAATAGACTGTTCTCATTGCAACCTATGGATCTCTTCAACTGGTTTGATGTCCTGGGACTATTCAGGCAGATGTAATTGAATCAGTTTGAAGCAGCTGTAGCTGGCATGTGGGCTCTCAGATTGCTAGCACCTGCTTGGTTTTTTTTTTTTTTGGTTTTTTTTTTTTTTTTTTGTAACTCACTAGAGTGAGAGAAGTGCCAAAACCAGCATTGGTCTTGGAGTAGATAAAACACTTCAGATATTATATCACATTTGCCTTCCAATCTAACCACATCATCACTGGTACCTGGATAAAAAAAAAAACCCTGTTCATAATGAGACCTGAGGTATACTTTTCCTTCTCATTCTTCTCAGTATTCAGATCCTGATGGTACTGACCATGCTACCCCCAAATATAAGAGAATATAATAGTGATCAGGTGGTTTGGGGGCTCTCATCATTAGACAGCTGAGTAGCCTGTGGTTTGCAGAATCATCTAAATGAAAGTACCAAATTCATTTGCTGTTCCAGCACAGTCTTATTGGCACAGAGAATGAGCAGTTAATGTATAACAAACTGTGACCTGTTATGGAATATGATAAATATACTTTCTTAGCAAGGGGGATTTAAAATGGAGCTGTTTCTGTAATGTAAGCTCTAAACTGATTGATGTTGATTTCTTCAACACTTGCTATATGCGAGAAGATACAGAAAACTACACAATATAGTAAGTATGCAAAACATGTTTTTAAATATACAGATTTGGAATTGCTTTCACAATATTTATATCCATTTAAGAAACATGTGTTTACCTTATCTTTATTCCATTTTATTTGACATGCATCTAATCCTTAAGTGTTGCCAGTTTCCTAATGTTTAATTTGAATCTAGATTGAATTTGTAGATTATTAAAACAGTCAATTAATAAAATGTATTAATAAAATATATAGTTTGTGTTACTAAGTTTCTCTATAATTTGTAACATTTTGAGAGCAGCTAAGAAATAAATGGAGTTTGAAAATAGTAATTGTAAGGATGAATTCTGAAAAACATTGTTTATCAGCAGCAGATGCCTGTTTTGTAAGAAATGGATAGATGGAAAGTTCTGTTATTGGGCATATACTATTATAGAATACTTGAATAGACAACACTTAGATTTTTTTTAAATCACAAAATAAGATACTGTTTGTGTCAAATGTATTTTTTAAGTCGGGATTTGGTCACAAATGAATGCCGTAAAAGTCAAGTCAAAACTAAACAAAGAATCAGGCACTTTGTCAGATGAATGCTCTAGATCCAGTGTTCCCCCTTCTTCCCTTCAAAGATAGCACAGCTCCATTATGTCTCTCAGCCACTGTCCTCCAGAGAACAACATGCTGGACAATTACAAATTGATGGAAGCAGCAGGTCAAATGAAAATACTTCCCATCGCTGAAAACAAAAGTCACTAAGTGTTAAAGATGTTTAACGAATGCAGTAATCTCTAGGAAAAGGCTGGACCTGAGCTGTTTTCAAAAAAGCATGAATCTTAGCATTCGGATAACTAGAAAGGGTAAGAAGAGCAGTGTCCAGCTGATGAGTAGTGTCAACAAATGAGTTCAGAATGGTGTGGTATGGTGAGAGGTGATAGATAGATCTCAGCTGTAAATAAATAGTCTTGTAATTATTACTTTAATATTTTTCTCTTCTGTTAGATGCTAAGATCTATAAAGTGCTTTATTATTATTTCTCGAAAAATACTTCTTGAAATAGCACTTCATGGATTCCTCCTGTCTGGAGTTAAATTTCTTTTACATTTCCATTGTTCTTATTCTTTGCCTTGTTATACACAGTTTACCTCAGAGTTTGGAGAGCATTTTTTTCACTTACAAGTTTTTATGTGAATAATTTAGGGGATTCAAAGAATCTTATTTCTTCTGTGAGTTTATACAATAAGAAAAAAATTTGAAAAGATTTTTTTATTTGTTTAAATACTGTGGATCTCTCAGCATTGCTTTGGTGTGATTCCTGTTTTAACCACAATAATTTTTTTTAATGAGAATCAATATTTTAAAGTGGAAAAAGAACACCATTTAGATAGGGATTTAGATCTTTCGGCTCTCACTTGTTGAATGTGAAAGAGTGGGATATTAGGCTCAGTTTCCTCATCTGAAGGCTAGAGATGACAATATACCAAAGCACCTGGAATTAAATGGGTTTTTTCTATCCTTTGTAATCAACATACTTCTATTCTGAGCCAAACTAATAAAATCTTATCTACTATACCTTCTTCTTTCTCCATCCATTCTATTATTTGCTTTAGATGTGCCGATTTTACACTTTGAATAGAACATTTAACTTACATAGAAAGAGGCCGGAGATCAAGAATCACTCTATAATCTAGTCATTGCTAATATTTACTGTTGAGACATTTATTGCTTAGTAACAATTCTCTCATTTTTGATATGAATTATTAATATTAATTTGTGTATTTTAAACAGCTTTTATACCAATCTAAAACATTGCCTTATTTATTTATTTATTCACTTATCACTTAATACAAAATTTTCTATTGACCTAACCTCATTCACTTTCTACCTAATTAAACATGAATATGCTAATTATTTACATCACATCTTATTAAGCTGTTAGGAGTGTTAGGAGACCAATATTTCAGAAAAAGAAGGCCTCAAATATAGATTAATTCATTTCGGGGTTGTAGAATCCATTTCTTAATAGTTTTATAATGTTTTGTGACTTGATAAGACCTAACTAAAGTTTATTAGCTACAGAAACAGTTAATACATTTTATTTAATAGTAGTAATTAAAAGATACCTCCTGGTTAAAAAAAAAAAGAAAAAAACAGTTAACATTCTCAGTTTCCTAGAATTCCTTTATTTTTTCTTGCTTGGAATAGCTAGTGTTTAATAATGAATATCTATTTACATGTATCATCCTTATGATTTTGAGAGCATATAAGGGGATTTGGAATTGAAAATCTAATTTTCTAAATATGTTGATTTCTGCATATTTAGGGTGAGATGTATCTCCAGGTATTTATTCTTATGAAATGTGTTTTTTTTTTTTCAAAAATTTTGAAGTTTTCATACCACTAACTATTCTTATTTTTGTGTTAATAATACCAAAACATGATTGCTTGCTTAGTACTCACCATTTTTATTCAAAGTCAGAGATACAGAGAGAGAAGAAATACACAGAGATCTTTCATCAGTTGGTTCACTCCACAGATGGCCACCACTGTCAGTGCTGGGCCAGGCAAAACCAGGAACCAAGAGCTTCATCTGGGTCTCCCACATAGATACTAAGGGTCCAATCACTTAGATAAAGTTTCATTGCTTTTCCCAGGCAGTTATCAAGGAGCTAGATGGGAAGTTGGAACATTAACCAACACCCATGTGGGATGTTGGCAGGGCAGGCAGCAGCTTACCAGCTATGCCATGATGCTTGCTTCTAAGCTATGACTTTTAAAGATCATGAAGTTAAAATTAGACTTCTGAAGTTTGAGATTGTAGTAAATATAACTGGATGGCATTAAAGCTGCTTTGTACTGAGATAAGTAATTGAACTGAGAACTAGTTTAAAATGTTTTTATGATTTCTCGAAACTTATGAAGCGTGTGTGATAGCTGAGTTCAGTGTTACTTAAGAAATAGTTAATTTGGCATATCATGAAACCGTTCAAACACACATTCTTTAATCATGTAGGTCTAATGCTCAAGCTAGCA